AAAATTGTTCCATTTTGCCAGAAAATAACAGTGCAGATTAAAACAATGAGAAACCATTTTAGTTATTGAGAGAGGTTATGAGTGAGAACGAACACCCTAATCTGGTGAAGGTGTAGTGAAACTCACCCAAATACATGAGTACATAGCAGGTAGCATTAGCATTTCACACCAATACCATGCTTTTAAGCACAGTAAGAACAAAAATACTGATACGGTTGAGCCCTGAACAACACAAGAGTTAGGGGTGCCGACCCCCACACAGCTGAAAATCCAAGTACAACTTTTGAATCTAACTACTGTATAGAATACAAACAGCATACAAAGTATGTGTTAATTTTGACTACTGATGTCATAGGTAAGGCTTCCAGTCAACAAAGGTCAAGTAACACTTATTTTGTGTGTTGTTTGTATTCTATACTGTATTTTCACAATAATACATAACTTTTTTCTTAATTTTTTTTCAGTATTTCTAAGCCACTCATTTTGCAAGTTTTCCAAATTGTCTCATATCTCCAAAAAATTTCCCATATATTTATTGAAAAAAATCCTATTTATAAGTGGACATATGCAGTTTAAAGCCTGTACTGTTCAAGGGTCAACTGTAGTCTGTCAGGCTGATGCACACTGGTGGGACTGGTGGGTATTTTCTTTTTTAAAAAATATTTTCACTCATATGTGGAACATAAGGAATAGCACGGAGGACATTAGGAGAAGGAAGGGAAGAATGAAGGGGGAGAAATTGGAGGAGGAGACGAGCCATGAGAGACTATGGACTCCGGGAAACAGACTGAGGGTTTCAGAGAGGAGAGGGGTAGGGGGATGGATTGGCCCAGTGATGGGTATTAAGGAGGGCACGTACTGCATGGAGCACTGTGTGTTATATGCAAACAATGAATCATGGAACACTCCATCAAAAACTAGTAAGTACTATATGGTGACTAACATAATAAAAAAAAAAATTCCAGATAATTTGCAGTGGGAAAACTACATATAATTGGAATTTTACCTTATTCAAGGCATGATTGTGTAAAAGTTATATTTTGACATTGATATTAAGCGTGACTATGTAGCTAAAACCTGTAGCACAGTGGTTGTCTAGTTGTAGAGTCTCAAAGTCAGTGCTAGATGTGGCGTGTCAAGTCTGGAAGCCTTGAAATTTTTTTTTAAACTGTATGATCCTGATAGAAGATATTTTAGGATATATGGATTAGTTTTTCTTAGTTAATTGTGGTGTTGTGACAGAATCCAATTGTGAGATCAGGTCAGCCACCCATATCCACCATTCAGAGGATAGTTATTCTTGACAAGTTGAAGTTTATTTCCATACTCTCTTTTAGGCATGTGTAGCAGAACTAGGTTTTTAACTCCTAAAAGGTCAGCAGACAACTTTGTTAAGTGTTTGACTTGGTCCTTTTTTTTTTTTTTTTTTTTTCAAATTATGTTTTCAAATTATGTGATTTAAAGAATGTATTGAGGGCGCCTGGGTGGCTCAGTTGGTTAAGTGACTGCCTTCGGCTCAGGTCATGATCCTGGAGTCCCGGGATCGAGTCCCACATCGGGCTCCCTGCTCAGGAGGGGGTCTGCTTCTCCCTCTGCCCTCTTCCCTCTCGTGCTCTCTGTCTCTCATTCTCTCTCTCTCAAATAAATAAAATCTTAAAAAAAAAAAAAATTAAAGAATGTATTGATTGATATTTTTGGGTGACAGATCTCCGTGGATCTTTCATGTTTGTGTATGTCTGAACACGGGCATTATCTGGACTATTTTTTTCAAGGATATTGTACGAACAGCCTTGAAAGATAGTGAATTTAGACTTTAATTTAGATTTCCTTCTAAGTCTCGGGACAGATTTATTTCCTGTTGAGGATAATAAAGATAAGTTTTCCCTCTAGAGCAGAAGTTGGACAAGTTTGCTAGCAGTACCTTTAAAAGGTTGGATTTTTATAACCTTTGAGTTCTTCAGCTGTGGCATAAACTGCTTGCTTGAGGACCATCTATCTGGGCAATTCCACTCCAGCCCCTTGGGACTTGGGTGACAACATGGAGCTCATAGTGCCTGTTGTACCATAAGAATGGATTAAGAAAATGTGATGTGTGTCACCCAGCCACCCCATCCCTCCCACCCACCTGGGGTGGCTGGATGATAGACATTGGGGAGGGTATGTGCTATGGTGAGCGCTGTGAATTGTGTAAGACTGTTGAATCACAGACCTGTACCTCTGAAACAAAACATTATATGTTTAAAAAAAAAAAAGAAGAAGATAGCAGGAGGGCAAGAATGAAGGGGGGGAATCAGGGGGAGACGAACCATGAGAGACTATGGACTCTGAAAAACAGAGGGTTCTAGAGGGGAGGGGGTGGGGGGATGGGTTAGCCTGGTGATGGATATTAAAGAGGACACGTTCTGCATGGAGCACTGGGTGTTATACGCAAACAATGAATCATGGAACACTATATCAAAAACTAATGATGTATGGTGATTAACATACAATAATAAAAAATGTGATGTGTGTATGTATAAAATGGAATCATTTATATGTTGAATTTAAAAAAGAATTCTAAATAATAGAATCAAATAGTAGAAAAGTGGTTGCCGGGGGCTGGGGCACATACAAGGGTTGGGGGGGACAAGGAAAGGTTGGTAAGAGGGTACAGACTTTCAGACGTAAGATGAATAAGGTCTGAGGATCTAATGTATAACATGGTGACTATAGTTAATAACACTGTATTGTGTAGTTGAAATTTTCTGAGAGTACAATTTAAGTGTTCTCAAATACACAACACACACACAAAAGAAAGACAAAAAGGTATTTGATGTGAGATGATGGATGTGATAATTAACTAGATGGAGGGAACCCTTTCACAATGTTTATGTATATCCAGTCATCATGTTATAAAATTTAAATATCTTACAGTTGGGTCAGTTATACTTGGTTACTTATACTTGATTGATTAATTATACAATAATATAAGTAAAGCTAAAAAAAAAAAAATAAACCTTGTTAGAGATAAAAAGTCTTATTTCTGACTCAGGATTCTTGTTTTTGCCAGCATCCATGAAACTGGCTTGCTTCCTTGATAACTCAAAAAGTAGAAGTAGAGCAAAATCCTCTGGCTTTCACAGTTACTTAATGCCTTGAAAGATACATATTGACGTAATGATGTGACTTTTTTAAAAACAAGAACAAATAGAGTAAGATTACTTTAGAAATACAGAGTTTAAAAGGAAAGCGTGTGTTTGTATTTATTGAGAAAAGTATATGAAAATACCCTAGGAACTTGCAGATAAGTAGCTGTTTTTTAGACCAATTCCCTTCTGCCCTCAAGAGTGTTTATTATCTTGCTCAATTTCCAGTCTGGAGGTTCTGTCTCTACATAGAGGGTCACAGTCCTTCTTATAAATAAAATATTTTATTTATGTAGTATATATTTTATTAATTTAAAATTATTTCAGAAGAATTTATAGATACTGAATTAACTCACTGAGTGTTAGGGTAAGCAATTGAAGATTTTAAAATAGTAAGACAAACACTAGTAAATTATGCTTAACATGGAAAATACTCTCACTTTATTTCTCAGAATTCAAACCAAGAAAAGTTAGTAAAAGTCTTTCTGCTTAGGTTTTAGCTATTTTGTGTGTATTGATGAAGCAGAGCAGTATCTTCTAAAATAAGTTTTAATTTTCAGTTTAACAAGAGTATTGTTTTGTATGGAAATATATTCATATTATATTTGCTGTCAGAATTAAAGGCCCAAAGTCAAATATAATCAAATCGAAGTAATTTGTTTTGAGATTAGAATGAATTTCAATGAATACCTTTTTGTTAATGTAAAATTTTGTGGTTTTTTTAGTAACAATTATCCCAGTAATTAGCTATAATACTTTTTTATACTGTCAGTCTGCCGTTGTGCACTTACCTGAATGTTCCGTCCCACTACTAATTAAGCATGTTGCTCTTTGACCAAGCTACTGCCCCTTCCTCCCTCTTCTCTTTCATTTCTTTTGATTTATCTTTTCTCTTCCTCAAGTAGGTGCAGAGCAATTCACCAAGTTTTACCCTAACTCAGGGTAAGAGGCCTGTCTCTCCTTCTCACTCCTTCTCCTCCTCCTTTTTTTTTTTTTTTAAGCTGTGGGTTATAATTGATATATAAAACATTGAACATATTTGATATATGTATCAGTGAGTTTGACATATGTACACATCTGTGATTCTATTACCACAAAGTACTAAACACCTACATCACCTTTAAAAATTTCCTTGTTTTCTTTGCATGTGTGTATAAGTTGTGGTACAAACACTTAACATGAAATTTGTCCTTTTTAACATATTTTAAAGGTCACAATACTCTACTCTTAACTATAGATACTGTGTTATAGGGGATCTCTAGAACTTACTTATCCTGCATAACTGAAACTTTATATCCATTGAGCCACAATTATCCATTTCCCCCTCCCCTAACCCCTGGCAACAAACATTCTTATCTCTGCTTCTAATGAGTTTGACTATTTTTGATACCTCATACAAGTGGAATCATGCCATATTTGTCCTTAGGTCACTGGCTTATTTCACTTAGCATAATATCCTCTGTGTTTATCTGTGTTGTTGCAAGTAGGGTTTCCTTCCTTTTTTTTTTTTTTTTTTTTTAACACTGGACATCCTTTCTCAGAGCCTCCTTCTGTTTGTTTTTTTATATAATGGCCAGAGTTTTTTGTTGTATTTAGTGGGAGAATTAGGAAAAAGCATGTCTATTTCATCTTTATGGAAGTGGTAGACTGCTTTGCTTTTGTTATCTGTTTTATAAACCTTTGTGATCATTAGGAAAAATAAAATGAAATATTGTATGCATGTATAGTCAATTAATAATGAATACACTTACCAAAAGAACTTTTAGCAGAAATTAGTTTTGGTTAAGACACAATCTCATGTAATTCAGTTTATATGAAATACAAAGTGAAGAACATTAACTCTGTGTAAATTTAAATTCCTATGTTTAATTGCAGAATCTTTTAGCTGAAAAAGTAGAACAACTGATGGAATGGAGTTCCAGGCGCTCAATCTTCCGAATGAATGGCGATAAATTCCGAAAATTTATAAAGGCACCACCTCGAAACTATTCTATGATTGTTATGTTCACTGCTCTTCAGCCTCAGCGGCAGTGTTCTGTGTGCAGGTAATTTATGTATTCTAAAAAAATTTTAAATTATTATCATATGCTTGTATATTTATTACATATATATAAATCTGTATAATAGAATTCAACAGCTGTTCAAGGTTATAGTCAGCTATAAATGTGGATTTAAAAGTAAACTCAAAATCAGGGGTGTGTGCATGGCTCAGTTGGTTAAGTGTCTGACCCGGTTTTGGCTCAGGTTGTGATCTCATGGGTCCTGAGGTTGAGCCCCAGGTCAGGCTCTGCTCTCAGTGCAGGGTCCGCTTGAGATTCTCTCTCTCCTTCTGCCCCTCACCCCGCTAGTGAGCGTGCACACTCTGTCTCTCACATAAATAAATCTTTAAAAAATATAAGCAAGCTCAAAATCAGTGTATTTTAGAAAATAATTTGATAGACTAATATTCTTTTATTGTGTAAAATACTTATTGATCAATCCATTTGTAATAAAACAAATTTGCTTCTTTATGTCCTGTATGAAGGTAAGTATGTGATAGAATTTGGTTCGAACATTGCCTTGTAGGTCATCTAATTATGTTTTATGGGCAATGAAGTCATCTCCTTAAACATATTCTATTTTAATAGTTTAATAGAGAGGACACACTTTTACCTACAAAAGTCCATTTACTTTTCATTACCTCAATGATTAGGAATTTCTCCCTATGATACAGAAGTAAATCATTTAAAATGAATGAAATATTTTTTTAGTGGGAATGTACTAAAGAAAATTTTGGACAAGTACAAATACATATGCAGCCATGCTTTAAAAAATTCCTGTTTTTGAAATAATTGTAGATTTACATGCAATTGTAAGAAATGATACAGAGAGATCCTACATACCTTTTACTCAGTGACCCCCAGTGGTAACATCTTGCAAAACTATAGTATAACATCACAAGCAGGGTATTGGTATTGATATCGTGAAGATACAAAACAGTTCCATCACCATAAGAATCTCTCCTCTTGCCCTTTATAGCCACACCCACCCACCCACCCATTCCCATTCCACTCCATTCTGAATTTGTACTCCATTGTGTTGTTCCAGTAATGTGATGTGAATGGAATCCTACCCTTAAAGATCTTTTGGGTTTTGCTTTTAATAACTTAACATAATTCCCTCAAAATCCATCCAAGTTACTGCATTTGTCAACAGTCATTCTTTTTATTACTGTGTAAAATTTCATGGTATGAATGTACTGCCGTTTGTTCAGCCATCTGTTACAGAATTCTGGGTTGTTTCTAATTATTGACTATTACAAATACAACTGTTGTAAACATTCTGGTACGGGTTTTTCTATGAACTTAAGGTTTTATTTCTCCATGATGGCTAGGTTGTTTGGTAGTTGCATGTTTAGCTTTGTAAGAAACTGCCTAAATGTTTTTCAGAGTAGCTGTATTATTTTACATTTCCTGTAGCAGTGTATGAGTGGTCTAGGTTATCCATATCCTCATCAGCATTTGTCACTATTTTACTTTACTCAATTTGCTAAGTATGTAGTGATAACTCATTATGGTTTTATTTTGCATTTTCCTAATGGCAGTGGTGTTGAAAATATTTTCATGTGTTTGTTATCTGTATATCACATCTTTGAGGAACTATCTGTTCATGTCTTTTGCCCGTTTCTAATCAGATTTTTTACTAAGTTTTGAGAGTTCTTTATGTATTGTAGATACTAGTCCTTTGTCAGACATGTAGTTTTCAAATATTTTCTCGTAGTCTATGGCATATCTTTTCATGTTCATGACTGATCTTTTGCAGATTTTAATTTATGAGTCCAGTTTACCAGTTTCCTATTTTGTAGCTTACTTTTGTTATCCAGTTGAACTCTTTGCCTAGCCCTGTATCCCAAAGTTTTTCTGATTTTTTTTTTTTCTGAAAGTTTTATAGTTTTTTGTTTTACATTTTAATCTGATCTTTGGAAGAAAGTATTTAATCATTAATGATGGTACTAGCTGTAAGATTTTTGAAGATGTTCTTTATCAAGTTAAGGAAGTTCTCTACTAGTTTGATGAGAGTTTTGATCATGAATGGGTGTTGGATTTTGTCAGATTTTTTTGGTGTGAATTGATATGATTTTTCACCTTTAGGTGCTTGATATAGTGCTTTATAGTAATTGATTTTTGTATATTGAACCAGCCTTGCATTTTGGAATATATCCTACTTGATTATGGTGTATTACTTCTTTTATGTATTGCTGGATTCTGTTTACTAATAAAAATCTATTCAAAATTTGCATCTAAGTTCATGATAGCTCTTTATCTGTACTTTTCATTTTTTATACTGTTTTTGTCTAGTTTGGTATTAGGCTAATACTGGCCTCATAAAATGAGTTGAGAAATATTCCCTCCTCATTTACTTTCTAGAAGAGATTGTGTAAGATTAAACAATTTTATAAGATTGTGTTAATTCTTTAAGTATTTGATGGAATTCTTCAGTGAAACCATCCGGGCCTCGTGATTTTAAATTACATATTTCATTTCCTCAATGGCTAAGGACAATTCAGGGTGTCTCTTTTTGGCTGAACACTTTTTCAAGAACACTTTTTATGTGGTGGTTCCACTTAGTGACTCTCCACATTGTATAGTCATTTGTAGACTTTTAGAATTTAAATCAATGTGAATTCTAGTGGAAACTGAAGTTATTAGTAACATGGGTCAATGAAAAAAATAGTTTCACTCAGACTAGTTTGCAGAAAGGGAATTTCAGTGTCTCAACATTTTCTAGAAGGATCTTATCATGATCTAATAATGACTGTATGTTGGGGGCATGTCTAAAAGTGGGTAGAGAAGATGGTGAGCAAAAGTATTTTAAGGGGCTCCTGGGTGGCTCAGTCAGTTAAGTGTCTGCCTTTGGCTCAGGTCATGATCCCAGGACCCTGGGATCAAGCCCCGCAGTGGGTTCCCTGCTCAGCAGGGAGTCTTCTTCTCCCTCTGCCCCTCCGCCTACTCGTGCTTTCTCTCTCTTGCTGTCTCTCAAATAAATACAAATAAAATCTTTTAAAAAAAAGTGTATTTGAAAAATAGCATTGCAGATGATTCTGGATTCTCCTTCTATCTTATACAAGGGCCAGTATGCAAGTTGGCATTAAAAGTGTTGTCAGAATTGGGCTAGCACATTTGGATGAGTCTATGTACTCAGACTGTCCTACTCAGACAAAAACACCACCTCAATTGGCATTTTGGTGTAACAGTTAAGTTTCCACTAAAAATACGTGTCTTCTGGCATCCTATAATACCATATATATTTTAGGAAAATCATTTGCTCTTAAAAATTGAATATATTGATTTCTTATATTTGCCACTATTAGGAAGTGTATTTAATTGATCATTATATTTTTGTAGCTGTAAACTAGAAAGACTTTATTACCCAAGTATTTACTTCACAGTTATATAAAATGTATTGTGATGACATAAACTATAACATACTGTTAAATGTTGTATCCTTTAGGTATTATTTTACTTAATGCATTATATCATTAAATGAATTGCTGAACATGGAGCCTTAATTTTTTTAATGACACATTGGTCAAAATAACCTGTTTTTTGCAGCCTATTTTGTAATAAACTTGAAAATTTTAGAAAAGTTTTGGATTTATAAGAGAAAAAGTTTGAAGTTATTAGAAAGTTAAAATAATAACTTTAGAGAAGAAAAAATAGATTAAAGTTTAGAAGCAAATAAAAAGTAAAGAGCAGACATGGTTCCCATACCCAGAATTCTTCTCCCTCCCCCGCACTGGAATTCTGACTTAATTGTTTTGGGGTAGGGCCAAGACATTGACATTTAAAAAAATATGATCTCTAGGTAGTTCTAGTGTGCACCCAGTATAGAGAAAGGGAAGGTAATAAAAGCAGGTACATGATTCATAGCTTTTATTTATTTACTTTCATTGAGGAGCAGTGGGAACGGGAAGGTTGAACTAATTGAATGACCTATAGCATTGAGAATCCTTTTGAAACTATAATACCTAAATTCTTAGTGAAGAATCTGTAGAATTTAATGATTTTATTCCCCAATACTCAGCAGGGGAGGAGAAAGAACACTCTGCTTAGAGGTTAATATGTTTGGTTTATGGTGTGAAGTGGATTAGGTAAATGATTTTAGGTTCTAGTGAGAGTATATTTGAAAGATATAACGGTGGGTCCAGAGTTGGTTGGGGGGTTAGAGGAAGCCGGGGATAGCTGATAAACTAGATGTGATATAATAAAGCTAAATTTTTTATAAGAGTGAAAAACAGGTTTTGTGTAAAAGTAGGGTGGGATTGAAAATTAGGAAGTAGTTATAAAAGGTTTTTTTAAATAAGTAAATTGCTGAAGTATAATGTAGATGATTGTTGATCTTGTAGAGACATTTGAGGAACTGTAAGGCTGTGGTGATGTCTGGGTTATAAACATGTATTTGAAATTACTCAGGATGATAAGGGAACTGGAGAGGAAAAAAATTAAGTGAGCTGATAGAGGGATGCCTTGGACTTTATTCGATGAGGATGATAAATTTATACTATAGGATAAGTAAATCTCAAAGGAAGATCTGTTAAATAATTATGGTGGAGCAGTGGTCTGTTATTGAGCCAAGAGAGTACTAAGTGTATTTCATATGATAGTGGGCAGTGTGGATCAAACAGATCCCAAGGTGACAACTATGATGAAATATAGAGAGGAGTTTCAAGAAAAATTTTCAAGAAAAATTATTCAAATTTTATTTCTCTATTATAAATTAAGCCTCAAGGGGAGATGCAGATTCACTGAGAAAGCCAACCAACCCATAATCAGTAGCCTTCTTTTTTTTTTTTTTTTTAAACATGAATTAAATTTTCCTGGATCCTTCCGTGTCATTGGAATTTTGGACCATTTTTATAGTACTGCTATAATTTTTTATAATTCTACAGAATCACTGAAAAGTTCATAGCTATAATTTTTTTCATAGCTATAATTTAAAAATCTTAGTGCTTTCCTCTGTGAGATGTTTTTTGCTTTTCTTCTTCTTTTTTTTTTTAAGGAAAAGT